AAAAGAAAAGAGAAAGGGTTTTCAAACTCAACTTTTCATCATTTCACGCAACGTTTCAGTGTAGGGGTCGAGGATGAAAGCTGATTTCCCCAACCAAAGCAGCCCGTTTGAAGTGCAAGAGATTTTTTTTCTGCATGGAGAAATGGTGATAGAGACGGAGATGGAGATGGAGATGGAGATTATGGTTCCGCCATTTTCTGGTCGGTCATGGTGGCCGGAAAAAAACTTGAGAGGAACTGGAAACGCACCACAAACTTGCCCATAGCTAGAGCTTCGGCGGTGGTCGTGCACAAGACATCGCTGACGCTTGGGTTGACGAAGACCTTGAATCTGAACAGAATTCACAGAACAGAAAACAAAAAACAAGCGCCAAGTTTTTCCAGAGAAATTAAGCCATATAATTAAATTAACAATTTACTAATTTAGTAGGAAAAAAATAGTACTTAGGGCAGGATTATCAGTAAACAAATGGGAGTGTAGTCCTGACGCGGATTCGCGGAATAAACAACGCCAGTATGTGTGTCATTTCCATCATACGCATTTTCCTTCATTCATATGAACCAATCAATGCCATGATGTATTTCAGGGATGCTGGACCCGGTTTCCAGCAGGTGTTGCTCCCCMCCAATTAAGTTTTTTTTTTTTTTTTTGTTTCCCTTTTCCCGTTTTCAAAGTTGGGGGGCATTTATCGATTGGTTGTGTTACTTGTGTATCATCCTAGACCCGGCGCAGTGAAATCTTTTTCTTTTTTTTTTTTGGGCACTCCCCCTTCACCCCCCAAAGAGAATCATTCATTACAAAATCCGGGAAATGGGGATGGCGTACCTTACAAAAAAAGACGGTTCTGTTCACGGGCAAGACATCACTGCCCACACCCGAAAACCCAAAAAACACTGGTCACCGCAAACCCACCCTAAAACCAGCGGAGAGAAATCGAACGGACCAACCCACTCTACGAAAGCGAACCAAACCATCGTCAAAAATCCATAAACCCTAAACCCTAGTACTTGAAAAACGAATCACGACCCGTTAAAAATTTAAAATTGATTAATCACTAATCAAAAACCGTAAGTAACAGCCCATCGCCCATCCCTATAACACCAATTTTCAAAACCTGTCTATCATTATTACCCCTTCCCGCGCCCTATCTATCATTATTATCCCTTCCCTATCTATCATTATTATCCCTTTCCTATGTATCATTATTACCCCTTCCTGCGCCCTATCTATCATTATTACCCTTTCCCACACCTTATCTATCATTATTACCCCTTATTCCCACCAAAGTAAAAAAGCGAACTAACCATACCACTAATAAAAGGGGATTCCATCCCAAAAAAAAAAAAAAAAAAAAAAAAAACTAATCAATCTATCATGTACTGATCATCTATTATAGGGAATTTCCGAAAGGGAGCTAACAATACCAGAAACCAACCCTACCATGAAATACAAAAAGGAGTCTAATAAAAAAGCACATAACCCAAAAAAAACCCCCCCCCCCCCCCCCCCCAAGTCGAACCCATACCGAACCCCATACCACGAAAGGGAGAAATAAACAGAGAGTATATATACATTGCACATTGTACAACAATATGAATTGACTATTCAATATCCAAACAAATGCAATCACAACACCGGAAAACCTCTCGTCTAAAGCGACGAGTTAAGCAAGGCAAATAGCGACCATGCAAAGAAAACTGCTCCTGATTGTGTATTTAACTTTATTATTATTATTATTATCAGGGTTGCCGGCATTCGGGACGGACCGAACGCCCGAACGTTCGGGGGCCAGCCCGGGGGCCCCCGAACGTTCGGTCAGGTTATTATTATTATTATTATTATTATTATTTACTAGTTGTCCCACGGTCTTTATTTGCTTTGCTTAACTCATCAAGAGGCAAATAGGCAACTGAACTGTCTCACAACAAACAGCACTAACTGCACTGTCATCTTCATCATCATCCCTCGTCGTCATCATTATTTTCCTCTTGATGAGAGTGAGTCAATCATCCTTGACACCGAACAAACAAAGCATGTCCTGGCAAATGTATATATATATATATATCGTCACAAATATATATATATATATAATATGTGTATATATATACATTTGGAAAATGTGTAGAAGAAAAGAAGAAAAAAACGACCAAGGAAAATGTGTATTACTCACTCTCGAATGGATGGATCAGCATGATCCCGTCGTCCATGGAATACCATCGGAAGATTGTGCCTGGCCAGCATCACAAATGAAGAAGAAAGAACACAACAAACAAAACAGATTTTAACCGCTGTATTAGGCCATCCGCTCAAATTGCAACGATACAGAGTGAAACCATTCGCATGGCCCCTGCACAAAGATGCCATGCATACATTGAACCTTGCCATTTAGAGGAAGGAGAAGTCATAACAAGCTTTCCATAGAGGGAAACAACAACAACAACAACGACAACAACAACAACACGGACTGAGGCAGAGCGCCCAGCTCTCCTCCTTCCTCCCCAGCAGGCATGGCGGCCGGAAGAGCAGCAGAGATATAGCTGCTTGCGTTGTCTTTGGACGTAAGGGCGAGGCCCTTACCGGGCCGAAGACAACATTGGGTCATTATAGCTGTATTTGGGGCAAGTTCGAGTCTAGATACAGCAATAATGACCGTACGTTGTATGTGGGGGAAGACAGTAGTAGTCCGCCATGGCCTCGGCCTGTTCAAAGAGAGAGAAGAGGGAGTCTATGGCTATGGTGGACCGCTGGTTGTGCTAGCGCTAGGGAGAGAGATGTGGACGTTGATTCTGGTTTAGCCATTCATCGTTAATCTGACTATTAAATATGTATTGTTTAAATAAGCGAGGGGGAGATAAGGAGGAGTCGGTTTATGCGAAAGAAAGGCGGAATTGCCATTGGTCTTTTGCTCGTGTCCATCTTCCTCTTCTTTCTTTCTTTCTTTTTTTCTCTTCTTCTTCTTCTCCTTCTTCTTCCTTCTTCTTCCTTCTTCTTTCTTCTTCTTTCTTCTTCCTTTGTGCTTCTTCTTCTTCTTTCTTCTTCTTCTTTCTTCTTCTTTCTTCTTCCTTCTTCTTCCTTCTTCTTCCTTCTTCTTCCTTCGTGCTTCTTCTTCTTCTTTCTTCTTCCAGGATCGTAACAAACAGAAAAAAGAAAAAAGAAAAAAGAAAAAAGAAAAAAGAAAAAAGAAAAAAGAAAAAAGAAAAAAGAAAAAAAGTAAAAAGTAAAAAGTAAAAAGTAAAAAGAAAAAAGAAAAAAAGTAAAAAGTAAAAAGTAAAAAGTAAAAAGAAAAAAGAAAAAAAGTAAAAAGTAAAAAGAAAAAAGAAAAAAAGTAAAAAGAAAAAAGAAACAACCATGCCCCGCAACCAGAGCAGCATAACCAATCACATCGTCAAAACCTGTAGTGGTATTCTGCAGCAGCGACATCTTTTCTTTTTTCCGGTCAATCTGGACAAGTTATAGTGCAGCTGGACAGCATCGTCAAAACCTATAGTGCACTTCTCGCACTAAGTCCAGTAATAGGGGTATTCTGCAGCGACATCTATTAGCACAAGAACTCCTCTATACAAATTCATTCAGGAAAGGTACTTTTTTGTTTTGTTTTCTGGGGTACTTAATTTTTTGGGGGGGTACTTAATTTTGGGGGGGGGGGTACTTAAGTTTTTTGGGGTAGCTAGTTCAGGTTTTTGGGGTAGCTAGTTTTTTGGGGTGCTTAATTTTTTGGGGTACTTAGTTTCTTGGGGGGTACTTGGTACTTACTTCATTGCGAATTCCTCGATTTCCCTCTCATCTGAGCCACTGCCATAGACATCGACCTGAAGCTCAGGTTCTTCGTCCTCTGTGCTTGCTGTTTCGGAGCCATGGTGTCCAGCTGCAGCATCAGCTATGGCTACCCTTTCCTTATTTAACGGCTCTAACAACGTGTTGTTTTGTACGTTGGTTTGCGAACCGTGCCGACGTTGAGCACCTGTTTCCGAAGACTTGTTGGAATCGCTGGTGCCTGCAGAGTTACCTTTCGCAAAGATACGCTGAGCGAGCCATTTGACGCGACCAACAGGCGGCATTTGAGATTGCTCTTCCTCCCCATCTTCCACTTGATCTTCTTCTTCCTTCACTCTCCCCAGCAGCACTCTGTCCTCGCCGTCATCATCCTCATCGTCGTCGTCGTCGTCGTCGACATCATCGTCGTCGTCGTCGTTGTCATTCCCCTCTAGAGGATCTTCCTTAACGGCATCATCACGGCCAAAGTCCGGCCTTTCGATCCGTCTCAGGAAGGACTTGATGAGTCGCTTTCTCTGTGCCTCGATCTCTATCCGACGCTCCAGATTCATCACCATGGCAGGCCGATACCTAGGGTCGGTGTCCGGCTTCAGTAATCGATCTGGGGAATCGTGCAGGTCAATCATGTCCTTTTGGCCAGCATCAAGAAATGAGAAGCTCGATCTCAAGGAAGAATCTCCTTCCACGGACCGTCGAAGTGGAGAAGGAGAAGAGCCCACCATGAACCCCTCGTCTATGGAATTGCGCAGCGAATTGCTTCCTCGCAACCGCCCATAGTCCTCCGCAATATGGCGGAAAGAAGTCAAGCTGCCCCGCAGAGATCCATCCTCCAACGATTGGCGAAGCGAGATGCGCCCGCTGCGCAAATATCCATCCTCAAACGATTGACGAAGTGATCGGCATGGATTGAGCTTGACAGGATACTTTTTGCAGTGATGAATGAGGAGGTCACAGAGTTCTCTGTAAGCTTTGCCCCAGAGCATCTGCACGAGGGAAGCGAACGGGGAAGGGAAAACGAAGGGGAAGGGGAAGGGGAAGGGGAAGGGGAAGGGGAGAGGAGGAAGGGGAAAGGGGAAAGGGGAAGAGGGA